CACCAACATACACTTTTTGTATCTGACCTTTCATAATGCCAGTCTTGCTACCTTTTTAACGTAAAATGTAAATGCACTGGAAGGTATGATTTCATCTTCGGGACACCTAAACATTCCGTTTCACTAACCGGGCATTACTCAGTGACAAGTATAAGGTTACTTTCCGAAAGTCTGCATTATCTATCAACATACAAGTCTTGTTCCTAACTTTTTATAATTCTACTAGCTCTTTAATTTACAATGTTAATGCACTTAAAGCCATAATTTCATCTCCGGGCCACCCAAACGTGTTGTGTTATAAACTGGTATTGCTTGTAACACGCGGAAAGATATGTTCCATACTTCCTGGACGCACTGGGTTCTGAGTTTACTTAATTCGCGCATTCAGTGTTACGTGGCTTATTGGTACCTAGTCCATGATGGTGTTAAAATATGGCATATTGCAAATTACTCAGCAGATAAATTTTGGCAATACATCCCATCCACATATTTTAACGCACACCATTCGCTGTCTATATAGGCCGTACAACAAATAGCAGCAGTTAATATAATTCAATGTTAACTACAGTATTAACTTGATTATAATTAATTAGATTATTTGAATGCCCTCAAAACTTATCTACCTGCTCAATCTTCTGATTTCTCTATGTTACACATGTTGCATAGAGAAATCAGATAAAGCTCATTCCTCCTTTTTTCTATACCTTATCTGTGTAATTAACATGGTTCTGACAGCTGTTGCCTAACATTTCACACTTTATTGGCCAACAGTATCCCCCCCGCGGGGATCGACTGAGTTCAAGTCTCCGCGTTCTGGCTATGACCTGTAGCAAGGCAGACTCGATCTGTTGGGTAAAAAAATCAGTCTTCAATGAATAGAACTATTATTCGGTGGTTGGTTCAAGCTTGGCAGAGACCGTACTGTACTATCTTGTGTGTCCCTTAGTTGTGGGAACGTTACATGGCTTGATATCGAAGGTTTTCCTTGGGAGTTTGGTTCCCCTTGGTCAAAAAAAAAAAGGATGGGATACGATGAGGATGAAATACGATGCGCTACTGTTTCTTCATTGGTGGGCTTCGTTTCTTCGTTCGTTTTGTCTTGGGATTCATATTCCCAGATTGTGTGTATTATATAAGCCCTGGTTGAGCTGGAATTATATCTCCTTGGATCGCTTCTAGAGTTGGGAAGTTTAACTGTGTTAAGGCAATTATTAACCCAGGTCTGGGAGCCCCTTCTTTCTAGTGTACTGCATTGGGCACAGCATATTTTAAAAAATATTGTAAATAGAAATTTTTAGCTCCGTCATCTGATTTACAGACTTTAACTTGAGGATATGAGTTACCCCAGCAGTTATTTAAAGGAGGGTTACAAGGTACTAAAGTTCAAAAATTGGTGTTATCAAAAATAACATCTATTAAGCATCTGACAACATAGAATAACATTAATGGGACATCAGCTTCCTCAGCTTTCTCTAATGATATCTACTGAGTATTTATAGAGATTAAAACGGCTTGAAACTTCTTCAACCAAATAAATAATTTAATTTCTCCACAATTTTCTATACCGAAATAAATTTATGTCACATATTATTACAAGAAGAGAGTTGAAAATCCTTAATTGTTCGGCAAAGCTGAGTTGAATCAGATGCGATTTCGCATCCTAGTTTTTGCATACGCTTTCCAATGGGTAATAAGGAAAATAAAAATTCGAATTTACAGGATGGAACATTTTTTTGTTAGTGAAAATATTAATCAGACTTTACCCAATATAACCTAATTTTATGGGAAATAAAGGGATTGATGAATTCAGTTTTAATTTGTGATTTGAAAACTATGATCATGTAGAACTGATGTATTATTTCGGGGAAAAAGAGTTGAAATATAACATTAAGAATTTCATAATATCTTGTGAAGAAGCAGCCACAACTGGTTCTCCTGCGAGCTGTTATCTTTTAATAAAAAGAGAAGTGCAAAGTACTATCTTTAATCGAAATAATTTTGCTAAAGATAAAATGAAGTCATTAATAATCTATGCGAACTAATGAAGTTATATTTATTTTAATTTAATCTATAAGCTTTGCTTATCTAACAGCTTTCCGCATCTTGAAACACACTACCGAACTTTAACTTTTACGAGAATTAAAATCAGACTAACTACTTTTAGGGTAAAAAATAGGGCTTTGTTTGAGATTAAAATGGCAAATTTACATTCAAATAATTCACTTAAGATGTTTATTTTGAGCACTTTATGGTATTTCATAGTTATTCGATTAAAGATACAAGCATGTATATTTAATCAGAAAGATGTGAATCTTTCCATTATTGAAAAATGTAATATTTTGTTAATTTGCCATTTATCATTTATTTGCTAAATGGAGTTTTGCTATTCTGCGTAGAGAGCTTCATGTTTAACAGCCCTTCATAGCGAAGCATTTCAAATCACACTCTAGGAAAAAGAGTTAATGGACTTTTAAATACATATTTAATGATAATGGCATGTTTTGACAGAATTTAACAACGTCCTTTTAAATTATTCAAGAGAACGAACGCAGTAAAGTATAATTAAAGTGTCCTAATTGAGCTCTGAAATTTCTTTGCCAGATCTCTCCGTTTATCCGATTACGATTTTTTGACCTACTGAGAGCTTCGATTATTAATTCGAAATCTTTCAAATATGCAGTACATCTTACATGGCAGGTAGACGGTTGTGCTGAAATTCAAGGGATTTAAGTTTTATATAAATATATAATTTTATCAGAATACTGTAAAATATGCATAAAAATCTTTCTTTGTTTCTCACCCATCTTATATAAACTGATAAACGCTTCATCTGATTTCATTTTTTAATCCCAAATGTCACCATTTGCTTTATTTTTTGCCTTTTTACTTTCTGTTCATAGAGGTGTGGGTTTTAATTACTATAATAGTCATGAAAATTCATTGATCTCTATTTCTCTTTCACTTAATTGAAACTGAGAAAGCAGTGTTCAGATACTAAAAGTGTTTTCCCTGAAATAAAACATACATCGACTCACGCGTTTTCTTTTACTTAAGTGAAGGTATGATCAAACATAATTTAGGTCTAAAATTAATTAATGAATGGCAAAATTCATTTGGGATGGTGATATCTTTTATATCACCATCCCAAATATATGATTTGGGATGGTGAACTTTTTCATTAAAAAGTGACAATTTGATAGCATTTGCTTAGTTGATGAAAAATATAGCATTCCTTTATATGATCAAAAAACCACAGATTTTTAATAATTTCATTATAGACTTTCAAATACAATAATATTCTTAGTTGAAGATGGAGAAGAGGTTTTCTTTACTGAAGTATATGTGATGCTTGTGAGAGCTTTATTTCCCTAGTTTTGCAATACATTATACTGTAAAAAAAGGGGGGGAATCTTAGTTTGGCATAGATTTGGAGTAATACCCATTTGAATCTGACGGCTATTAAGCATTATCACTCTTGTACAACAATTGTAAATATGGGAGGGGCGAAAAGCATTTTATAAATATATATATACATATCTAATATATAAAAGATATCACCATTCCAAAAGAATTTCATTAATTCAAAACCAATACTTCCTAATGCTTTCATAATCATTAGTTTTCACTTTTCATTAACATTTTACTCTACACATAACAGTACTTTAGTGTTCAATACAAAAGTTTTGCTGCTTCTCTCATCACTGCAATTTACTTTCGTCTGAAAAAAAGGACCCTTGTTTTGTTGACCTCGAAATCGACAACGTTTTATTCAAAATTTGAGGGAAACTAAGAACTTTTTTTTTTAATTTTAAATTTAAAATCGGCATGATGCAGCTGAAACTAAATAAATACAAATGCCACAAACAGAAAGAGAAGTCAGCATATTTCGAGAATTTATTAATAGCTACTAATAACGATGTCCTCTATAATGAAGGGGAAGAGTGGTGACTTATAAACGTATCACGATTTCCAGCAGAAACTGTTCGTTTGAAGGTATATAGCAATCCAGTTAAATTTCTTTAAAATTTCCAAAACCTCTGTTAATGTTTAATAATGAGGCAAAACAAAAATAACTACCTAGGTTTCTCAATTTCTGAAGTTTATATAACTACTTTTTCCGAAAATCTGATGTAAGTTATACAGCCTTAATATATGAAAGAGACTTAATATCAAATATCCAGCCTTAATATCAAGAAAATTCGAAATGAAATATCTTTTATGAATTAGATGAAAGAATATTTCATTTTACATTTTCTCTTTGAAATGAAAATTATATAAACCAGATCTAAAATTATTAAATTATTATTTACCTGATGCAACAATCAAGTATTTGATGATCTGATAATCTCCGGGAGCAAGATGAGTCATTTGTCGTTTAACCATTGTATCGCACATAACGAGCAGGGCCATCAGCGGCCGAGCGGAAAAAGCCTCTAAACAGTGGTAGTTCGTCGCGAAGTTCGAATTTTGGACGACTACATGGGCACTTTCGTGGTTTTGCCCAGCACCACTTTACAACAGTACTGAAGTGTAAACTTTGTAAACAATTTTTTAGTTCTTACTTAATTCTGATAGTATGCACTGACGTAAACAGATCATGTTTACAAAAATGATTTGTAACATGGAAACATCAGCCCTGTTTTTACTGCGATATATAATGTCCTGAAACATGTTACCTGCGCCCACTATATTACATAACGTCTTGTACTTGCACAACTATGTATATCATGCAATTTAATCCATTTTACTTAAGCTAATTTAACACCCCCTCAAAGATTCTTGGATTCCCCCTCAAAGATTCTTGTGATTCCCCCTCAAAGATTCTTGGACTTCAATGGGATACAATTAAGGATATCTTCTGTTTTAATGCACAAGACGTTATTGATTTCATCCAGTCAAATGACCAAACAAAACGCTGTGTTTTTAAAAGCTGCTTCAAAAATCTTCGATCCTTGTGCGTTTCTTGCTCCATATGTTATTCAAGCAAAAGTTATTTTCAGGATTATGGCTTTAAGGTGTTGATGGGAGAAATTATCCCACCAGAATTGCAAGACAAGTGGAAACAAATGGTAAGGCAATTATGTGATCTACCTAATATCCAGATACCTCGGTGGTATTTTTGTGATGTTGATGAAGCACCTGAAATACTGGAACTACGTTGTTTTTGTGATTTATCTCAAAGTGCTTAAGGAGCAGAAGTGTACGTGAAATTCCGTAGCTTAAAATATCCTGAAGCAAGTTTAGTGACAGCCACGAGCAGAGTGGCTTCCCTGAAAAAATTATCTTTACCAAGATGAGCTTATGGCAGCAGTGTTAGGTATAAGACTTGTAACAAAAGTTTGTATGCATTTTCCTCAAGCTAAGATTCATTTATGGACAGATTCTCTTATCGTGCTTCACTGGATAAATAACTCACCACTGTGATAGAAAACACTGGTACAAAATCAAATGTCAGAAATTCAAGATAAACCATCCTCGAGTACATGGCATCATTGCCGAAGATCAGAGAATCCTGCCGACAAAATCACAAGTAGTGTTAAAGTGAGTGAGCTTGTAGTAGATCAAGTGTGGTGGCATGGACCTCCATGGCTTCACTAAGATGAAATAAATTGGCCTAAAGTGAACGAGCATTGTAACATAGTAGATAGTGCTGAAGAAAGAGTTGTGACTCAAGTTACCAGCAATGTTCAACCTTTACAACCTGTGTTAAAAATAGAAAACTTTAGTGACTTAGGTAAACTTTTAAGAGTCACGTTCATATGTATTTAGATTCATTAATAATTTAATGTCACAGAATAGAGTGATTGGTCCTGTGACCAAAAATGAAATATGTAATGCTATGTGTTATTGAATATCTTATCACAAGGTGAGTATTTTTTTGAAGAGTTGAATGATGTTAAATGTAAAAAACCATTGTCTCATAATTCCAAATTGTTTGGGTTAAATCCAGTAATGGATGAAAAGGGTTGTTTAAGAGTTGGAAGTAGAGTTAGTAAAATCATCATTAGATGTCGATGAAATTCACCCTATAATATTACCACATAATTATTTTTCTCGTTTAATTATTTTAAACGTGTCATGAAAAGGTACTTCATAGTGGTTTCAAAACGAAACTTTAGTGCAAGTAAGATGGAAATTTTGGATTTTAAAAGTTCCCTTTTTTTTTTTTTTTTTGTAAATTTTTTTAAGGACGTTTGGTAAAATCTGTGTTACATGATTGTAGTTTTTGTAAAAAATATAAATGCTAAAGCTGGACACCGAGATATCGGCTCCGCTTCCTGCTGACCGAGTGGAGAAAGGTCAACCATTTGAGGTAAGTGGCCTATATTTTCGCTGGCCCTTTGTATTTAAAAGGATGATACAAAAGTGCATATTCTCATTGTTTACCTGTGCAGTGACTCGAGGAAGTCCATTTAGAATTGTTATAAAATTTAAGTACAGAGTGTTTTATTCAGGCCATTGCCGTAGATTTTTTGCACGTAGGGGTATTTGTAGAGTTATATATTCTGATAATGCTAAAACCTTTAAGACTGCTGATCGTGAATTAATTAAAATATTTGTAAATTATGTAAAGATGAAAAGGTTCTAAATTTCCTTGGTAAAAATGGGTTTGAATGGAAATTTATTGTAGAAGGTGCTCCTTGGTTGGGCGTATTCTATTCTGGGAACGTTTGGTAAGATCTGTAAAAACTTGTTTAAAAACGTATCTTAGGTAAAGCTTCTTATATTATGAAGAACTGTACACTGTCTTAGTTGAAGTTGAAGCTGTTATTAATTCTAGACCTATAACGTATGTATACAATGAACCAAATGAACCTGATCCTCTTTCACATCATCATTTTATAACTGGATCTAGATTGACTGTTTTTTACCTTCACCTGAATCTAAACTAGAAATCTACAAGATCACAGTTGATTAAAAAGATGGAAGCATAGGCAATTAATATTAGAGCATTTTTGGAAAGGTTTATAAAGAATATTTGTTAGAATTAAAATCAGTCCATGTTTTCAAAAACTCCAAAAAAATTCTCCCGTTTTAAAATTAATGATGTTGTACTTGTACGAGAAGATAATGTGAAAACGCTGTAACTGGAAGATAGGTAGGATTAAGGAATTATTTCATGGAAGAGATGATAGAATTAGATCTTGTCAGATTCAGTTGGATAAGGGTGTTGTTAGAAGACCAATTGAAAGACTTTATAATCTTGAAGTTCAATAAAATGATGCATCCGTTACGGATGCATGGGGGGGGGGAGTGTTAAGTTTAGGATTGTGTATCCATAGATCGCCAATAGATGGCGGTAGTGTTTGTTTGTAAACAGAAACTGTGATGTCAATTATGTATATGTATCAGTTCGTCTTTGGTGTTTGTGAATAAATGTTGTGTGGAAGAACGCTCCTCTGTTTATCACTTTAACTGCGATCCAGTCTGTTTATTAGAGATTTACACATATTTTGTTTACCTACAATGTACTATTTAAACTGCGGTTTAGTAGAACTTACGATAACATTTACATAGTTTTTATTCAAATTTTATTCCAGAAAATATATGTTGCATTCCTCGAAACCCATGCTAGGATTCCCTCATCAAACGTGGGAAGCTTTCGCTTATGTTCAACTGCCTGTGTATTAATTTGTTAAGAAGCTTTTAGTCGAGTAAAATATAATAGTCTTCTTTCTTGCCTTTCTAAATCTATACTTCTCTTTTTCTTCGCTTATATTTTGAAAACCTTGGAGACCAGGAATAATTTCAACTATACCCGACGAAGACGAATATTAAATGGCGGAGCATTCCAACTTTACGATATGAAGAATCAATTTCTTTTTCAAACCATGAATTATCTTAAGAATTTAATTTCTTCCTCAGCTTTAACAGCGAGATCTACAGCATTAAAATCAAATATACCCTTTTTAATTCAAAAGTCAAGGATACACCACCTTCATTTCAAACTTTCGTAAGAAAACATTGTTTAAGGGCGATGTACATATATTTCACCTGTAGAAAATATATTCGCAGACAAACAAAAATTCAGAGAACTGAAATATAAACCTTTTTATGAGTATCGTATCGAAATATGATACTTTTTGACTATAAATCTGTTTCGGCCACCAGAGCTCTCTGCCTGTCTGTGAGATATTATTTCGCAATGCGCAGATCGTATGCGTAGCTCGCATTTTGTTCTTGCGTTCTTGAAACGCTAATTGTAAGTCTCTAGCTTTACTGTGTGTTGTGTTGTGTTCGAAAGTTCAAACTGCCGAATAAAGGTTAATCTACAGTCCAATCGCATTGATGTATTCTTATGTTTATTAATTTAAATTTAAGATACCGCTACGCTACATTATTCTGGTCATCCTACGCCGGAGCTTCGAAGAAAAACAGCGCTTGTGAAAAAGAATTCTGCGTATCCGTAATGGTGTTACTTTCGGTTTAGAATTCTCAAGAGTTTCGCAATGGATACAGTGTACGAGGTGAGTGAAATAGTTAACGCATTTTAATTGCATTTGACATTTCGTTATTGCTATTATTTTTGTGTTTAAAGTATTAGTAAAATCGAGAATTTAGAATATTTTCAAAATGTCAGATATAGAAAAAAGCGAAAGAAAATTTTGAAAACACAGTTAACGAAATTCATCGAGAGAATAGATTATGATAACTTAGATAATGCTGAAGATGAATTAATCTTAGAAAAATGTAGAAATTTATACAAATTGTGATGATGATAAAATAGACACTTTTGTTGAGGAAGAACAGTCGATTTTAAAGAAAATTGAGGAGGTTCACTTAAAAATTGTTCGTAAGTTAAACATCGACAAGCTCGTAAATGCAAATGGCGATGAACCTGTCATACCTGAATCAATCTCTGCAAGTTTAAAGTTACCGAAATTATCTTACCCACATTTAGCGGAAATTTAACAGAATGGATAACATTTAAAGATTTTTTTAACGCTAGTGTTCGCAACAATCGAAATCTATCTGGAGCTAAAAAATTACAAAGTTCTTTGAAAAATGATGCTTATCGCATTATTCAGTCAATTCCCATAGCTGATCAAAATTTCAGTATTGCTTGGAATTTACTAGAAGAGAGATTTTTCTAATAAAAGAGACCAGATATTTGCTTTTATTAAAAGAATTCTTAACGTTTCACAAATACAAACGGAATCTGCATCCTCGATATTAAATTTAGTAGATAACGTAAACGAAATAACTCGCTCATTGGAAATATTCGATCAAAGGATAGATAATTTTAGTTATGCTTTGTTGATGTATATTTTTTTGCAAAAACTTGATGTTTCGACAAAGTTGTGGTGAGCGTCAATTAAAAAATGATGAAATACCAAAATTGAATGACTTGATAGAATTTTTGAAGAATTACGCTAGAACATTACAGAACAGTAAACCTTTAATTAGTAAAACGCATAAATCAGATAAACCAGTGTATAATAGGGTTACTTCTCTGATTACTAATTGTACTTGCTTATTTTGTAAAGAAGATCATTTTTTATACAGGTGTTCTAATTTTTTAAATTTACCAGTGCAAAAACGAATAGAGTTTGTTAAGACTAATAAACTTTGTTTTAATTGCTTGTCTAATGTCCATATAAGTTAAAATGTGTAAGAGTGCAAATACCTGCAAGCATTGTTTTAAGCATCATCATAGCATTTTGCATTTAGAAAATAATTTCAAACCAAAAAATGCATCTAGATTCCCTTCACCGGAAGCACAAGTGTTTGTTCCGAAATCACAAATTAAACCAGAAAACAACTTGAGTGAGGTTTATCCAACTGTTTGTGCAAACAACTATGAAAATCAACATTTTGGAGCTTATGCTAATGGTAAACGTAGTCATGTACTTTTGTGTACTGCTTTAATTAAGGTTCAAAACTCAAAAAAATGAATTCATAAATTGTAGATGTTGTACTAGATTCAGGTAGTGAAAAATCATTCATTCGTCGGAAAACAGCTATCAATTTAGGATTGAGCATAAAGGATTCGAAGATATTAGTGTCATGCTTAGGTACTTTCAATACAACTAACTACTGGAGAAGTTGAGTTGTTGTTTACACCTCATTTTAATACTAATTACAGAATTTCAACGTCCGCTTACATAATACATAGACAAAATTTTAGGAAACATTTCAAGTGTAACATTACCTTTGAATTTATATGAAAGTTTCCAAGATTTAACTT